CCCCGCAAAGCCCTTGATTTTTTTCCGATTGATTATAATTCTAAGTATATAGAACGTAAAATTTAATTAAATATTTGTTATTAATGATTAATTTTATTAATTAATGCTAATTATTTATTCAATAATTAGTTTTTTACTGTGTTTTGTTCGCGAAAATCGACAAAATCAAAAGGAGCATGATACAAGAATGGTGAACTTTCGACCCCGGACCCCCTTGAAAAATTCCTGTGTGCGCTACTGATCTCAGGTGAGTATCACAGTTCCTTTAGAACATTAAATTTGTAAGAGTTTTACAAAGATTAGATAACAAAGACGAAATATTCAAATTAAGCCAATATCATACTGATATTATTTTGAACTATAATTTAGAGTCGAGAAAATGTTAAATGGAAGCGTAGGGTATAGATCCTGTTACCTCTCAGAACCTAAGCGAGCGTTGTAACATCTGAGATAAGCCCCGCACTTTCATGCGTTTATTCCAAACACAAGTTCACTTCATCACCTGAACAAGAACGTATAATAGCCATATCAATCAGCAGTGTTGCGGGTGAGGGAGTAAGAGTTATATTAACGTCGCTCTATAAAGCTGCACGACCGACTTGTCGACTTGACCAAGTTTCAAACTTGTGAAGTCAATCGCTAAAAGCCTTCTTGTTGCTGGAAAGTGCAACGTTATACAACTCTTACTCATACCTAAAACTTTGATGTACCTTATAAAATATGACGGTTTTCCTACACGGTATTTTTTTTTCTTGGTACATATCATGGAAAGTTAAATTACTTAAATTAATAATGTACCGTAAAATCTTTGGATACAAAAAAATAAGATCGAAATTTAGGAGTGCGCGTTATACGCCATGTCCAATAATGAGATCTTCAAAAATGAAAGAAGAGGTGAGGTTTAAAAAATTAGACTTCTACATGAATCGAAATACTGTTTATTTAAAATCAATGACACATTCCTTATGAACTTAACGTGTTGCAATTCTATAAGTATAGTATTTTTTCAAAAGCCTGGTATAATAACTTGAATGAATTACTTCAAAGCATAAGACCACTAGGCACGTATATTTCAGGTTCCTTCATAAAAGGGGGTGAGTGTTATACGGCTAATATACCTAAAAATTAAAAATAGCAGCTTTAAAGTAGAGGGGCGTGTTATAAGCGGGATTTTACGTTTATACATTTCGATAATGGAAAGAAAAAAAAAACACAATTTTTATTTGATGAGATTAATATAATTTACATTCACACAAAAAGAATTGTAGTAGTTTGCTGACGATAATTTTAACGGGTTCTATTTGAAGGGATCTTTCTAATCCTTTAGGGATAATTCTACCCTTTACGTTGTACCATTATAAAACCGATTTCAGCGAAGGAACCGCAATTTATTTTTAATAAGAGTTGCTATTTAAGGTATCCGACTACGTTCGGAGACCTTTTTTTTAAGTTTTCTAAAAATCCCTAATATTTTTACATTTTTAGTTTCACTTCTAAACACAATAATAGAAAATAAAGTTAGAAATAATATATGTACATAAAAATTTGCAAAAACTTAAATTTTTAAAGAAATTTTAATGAAATTTTGGACTTTTTTCAAATACTCTATTTTTGAAAATATTTTATATTTTTCATAAAATATTGCTGCAACACATTTTTTAAACACATTTCTAGAGGATGACCTACAAGTGTTAAATTATTTCTTTTGAATCAAAAGTTATAGCCAGTCGAGCTAGCGAACTAGGAAATTCAATCAAATCATCGAAACTTCCAGAAAAAAATACAACTATAAAATAACTAAAAATTGTTCAATTTCTTAGCTTGTAGTCCATCCTCTAGATAATACAATTAATAACATTTGTGTAAAATTTCATACAAGTATCTCTAATAGTTTTTTAGATATCATGTGTTTGAAATATCATGAAATTTACAAAAAAATAGTTTTGAGAAAAATGCATTTAAACTTTATAAAAGCAATTTCAAAACAAAATATGACAAGTATATTACTAAAACTCTCCTGATTTATATTTAACAATTCCACTCTTTGGTATTTTTTAAAATTTTTTCTTTCTTTGGGCCCTCTTTTTTTTTTTTCTGGTTGATTTTAAAAAAAGCAAAGAATGTTGTTTCGAGTCACCGACTCGAAAGATGTCAACAAATCTCTCATCACGCAGTCTATAATTCCCTGAATTTATGCCAAATGCTTTCAAAATACCTAACAAATCAATAAAAGCTTTTTTAAAAATAATGACTGCAATATGGGTACCCAAAGAAAATGTTTTTAGCTCGATAAAATGCGTTAAATGATGCATTTGTATATGTGTCTTACCGTGGAGGCAATTTTATAATAACTGCTTATCACACTGCTTCATGTACACATGTTAAACAATATTTGAAAGTTTCACAGAAAAACGTACACTTTTTTCTGTTTATGGTTTTCCGCTGTCGTTTCCTCGCTGATAGTCACACCAGTTCTCAGCTCCAATCAAGCATGAACCATATATGGATTTCTCCCTGCTGGAGCAACAGTGAAAAAATGCCGCTATTGTAGCACTTAGCATAGCTTTGACGTGATTGGTGTTACTGCTACAACAGTTTAGAATTTTATTAAACATAACATTGATAAGTTTTCCCTTCTCACCGAGGTTTTTCTGGCCTTCTTTTTTAATTTTCTTTGCCGACTACTCAATCTTTCTTAGAAGTATCTTATGCACTCATATTTGATGACATTGTTGACACCATACACATCTTTAACAGAAAGGTATCCTTGGAATCACCATCACAATAGAAATACATATTTTTAAGATTTCGTAGTGCAAAAACATACAAAGATTTTCTACACACCAATAGATTCCATATTTGAAGTAAATCCCAGACGTTTGC